TGCAGTTTTTATCTTCTGATATCAGTAATGAAGAGTCCTCCTGTGACGATGTCCCAGGGCACGGTCCCCAGCAGAGCGCGTACGGCGGGACAAGCCTCAGACACGGCTGGAAGGATGCTCGGTGCAAGCGACCGTGCCAGGGAACACCCTGGTGAGAAGGAGACGGTGTGCAGGCTCCCCATCGTCAGGATGTGTGTGCAGCGGAGAGCCGTGACCTGCAGCCCCGCTGCTGCTGGCTGGAAAAGCAGAGATCTTTCCTCCAAAGAACTCACTCTTTGGGCTCATCGTTCATGTCTCTGCCTCTGTGTCAGAACGTCATTTCAGTGGAGAGCAGCCTGGGCTGGGCTGTGGCTCAGCCTTCCCCCGAGCAGAGCTCCCAGGGGACGGGGGACTCACAACCGGGGCCACGCTGGGGACCGCGACCTGCCACCAGCTCCCAGCACCTCTGAGCTCCCACTCAGATGGAAACCAGTTACGGCTCTGAAACCTCCCGCCAAGCAGTGCCATCTGACAGCCAGCAAAGTTTTTCTCCTTTCACCCTTGGTCTCTCCCCCTGGCAGGGAAGCTGGGGCGGGTTCGGCAGCCGGGTTTTCCCAGGTTAGCGGTGCCGCAGCCGCTGCGGAAACCTCGGCTCCGCTACCAGGACTCTGAACAGCGGCCAAGGCACAGCACGGCAGTGGAGGCAGGGATGTATCAGGAAGGATTCCTTATGTAATTCTCACCTTCCAGGATCCGTACCAGCTCCTGCCCGCATGTTCTGCCAGTCCTGGAGCAGCAGATGCTGGCTCCCGCTCTCCTCGACGCAGGGCTTCCTGGCAGCTGGCACCGAGGCTTTCCTGCGCCTCTCGCTCCAAGCCCGCCCGCGGTTAGCAGAACAGCCTCTTGCCACCGAGTTTTCAGGAAGAGGAAAGACTTTTGCAGAGATGAGAGCTGGGGTAGGTATCTGTTTTTCCTGGCACACTGAGAACTCACAATGCAGCGTTTTCTTTCTCCATTTATTTGATTAGATAATCAATAAATCAAATCCGGTATGATGGCTTGAAACGGAGCCAGTGATTTACACTGGAAATTAATCCCTCAATCTTTCCAGTGAAAGCTTCCTCAGAGCAAGGTCTATGAAGCAAAGCTAAATTCATAAATTAAATATGACCAAGATGCACTCACAGTCATTTTATGTTTATTCATTACAGGAACAGTTGTCTTGTCTTTCCCTGCTTACGATGGTAGGCTGCATCTCCAAATGAAGCACTGGAATGAAACATCAGTGTCGTCTTTTTCCATCAGTACTCGGTAGACTTTACTCTTTGCCTTTTTCATGAGGCTGCAGTTCCCCAAAGGCAGCAGCTGCCAGCCAGGGCTGTTTGTTCCTTCCTGCTGCAGGAGCAGCGATCCCAGGATCTTGGCAGGAACCCGGCCAACACCCGAGCTATGGATGGCCGGTCCTGCCCGGCAGAGGGAGGGCAGGGCCTGCCCGCCAGCCACCAAGAAACGCCCAAGAAAGCTCTCCTAGCGGGACTTCTCCCCGTGCCTTGCACCCACACCGCCCGCTCCGCTTGCACAGACACAGCATCCCGTCGGTACAGCACGACACGCCAGCTCCTCTACAAAGCCTCAACTTGTCCTTTCAAAGCTGCTTCCCAGAACTAACGGGGAAATCAATTCTGCTCCTTGTTTTATTCCAAAGCACAGTTTTGTTTTGCTCAAACTTTACCTAAAACATTGCTGTTGAGGACAGTCCGTGCTCAGAAAACTCAACCCTCGTCAGTATTTCCAAACGAAAACACTCAAGAAACTGCTAAAAGAGCCACCGCTGCCA